GATAGATAGATAGATAGATAGATAGATAGATAGATAGATAGATAGATAGATAGATAGATAGATAGATAGATAGATATTGTAAATAACCTCTGTTACATGTAGGGCTCTAAAGCTGATAACTAGCCCCTTGAATTTCACCTGAAAACCAGCTAGGACACAATACTGGTCAAGTAGCAGTGTGGTGTGGCTCAGATAAGGACAGAGCTCCACAAACTGTACATTCTCTGCCAGTTGTAAATTCTGGATTGTCTTCATGGGCAGCCCCCAAAGAGAGTGCAAGACGTTTGCTTATAATTAGTTGTTTTTCTGGCTAGCAAATTACTTTTAAAAGAAAAGTTTTGCATTTACTTATTGGTTGTAATTATTAGGGAGGGGAGGGACATGATGGCTCAGTAGTTGAAAGATGTTGAGCTTGTCAGCTGGAATGTTTGAGATCCAAGAACTGTGTGACGGAGGGAGCTCCCGTTCACCGAGCAGTTCGAAAGCATGCAAGTGCGAGTAGATAAATAGGTACCACTTTGATAGGAAGGGGAACAGCATTCTTCGTACCTCGGCGTACAGGGAAAACTTTTTAATTATTTTATTTTAGTTGTTGATCATCACGATTGATTAATCATGGTTCAATTATTATTTATTACGTAATTCCTTTTTTTCCCTCTTCTTTTCAGAAAAAAGTAGCTAACCATCCAAACCGTACTCCTTCCATCTGGTTAGCGATGTATCGGGCATTTGGCCGCCCCATTCTCCTTAGCAGCACCTTCCGCTATTTAGCAGATCTTCTGGGATTTGCTGGACCGCTTTGCATTTCTGGCATCATTGACAGTTTTCCCACCGATCCGGGCAATTCTACAAGCAACAATGCCGCCAGTGTAAGTTAACCATTCTAGCAGGCATAATGGGCTAGATTATTTATTTGTGTACTTGCCGCTTAACCAACATTTGTTTCTCTTGTCCCGGGTCTGCATATTGTTCTGACGCAGGCTTCCTTAGAAAGCAAGAAGCACAGTCTTGGTCCCGACAAAACCTCTCTTATTGACCAGATTGTGAATTCCTTTTATTCACAGTCAGCAAGGAAATAGTCTTTCCAAGGAATGTTTATCCACACGCACCTTATCTCGTTTAGAGCGCTGCCAGATAACTAGCTTCAGTGGTGGGTTTCAAAAATTGTTCAAACCTACTCTGTGGGTGTGGCCTCCTTTGTGGGAGTGGCTTGCCACCCATGTGACCGGATGGGAGTGGNTTCCCTGCTGGCTTCCCCAATGACTCTCTGGGGAAGCCAGCAGAGAACTGGTCACATGATCACGGGTCTTTTGGCAACTGGCCCTAAGTGCAAACAGCTTGCCTAGAACCCAGATCACAATCATGTGATTTCAGGGCCAGAGTTGCAACATTTTGCGATGGCTGGAAATGCTTTAGGGCTACAAAGCACTGTTAAACAGCAGCCGAATCAAGGAACTACCAAGAACACTCCCATCAACAATGGGAGGGCAAGCCACTTGTATATAAACAGGGAGCAAATCTCACTCCCTTCTAGCCCTGATGATATTACCTAGTTGGGCAATGAAATGTCTGCAAGAAAACAATCAGCTTTGGGGAGCATCGGGGACCACTCAGTCTAATTTTTTCCAGTTCAACCTTCTTCAGAATATGACATATTTAGTTGCTTGCTTGGAGAATAAATGTTGCATGCATGGAATTGAGGGCTACGTATTTCTTTTGGCCCCGCAGCTCTTTTTTTGTACTGGATCATGGCCTTTGTCACCAAAACTATCAAGCTGGTCAGATATTGCCAAGACGAGATCTATTTTGGTCAGCTGCGTTTCTGCATCACTGGGACAATGGTGGTGCTTTATGGGTTGCTAATGGCTGTGGAGATCAACGTGATACGTGTTCGGGTAAGAACATCTCAAGGTGTGTTGTTCCTCAATATCATGCGTTGTTCCTCAACCAGAGGTGGGCTACTGCCAGTTCGCACCAGTTCGCGCAAACCGATAGTTAAGAGTCTGCACAGTTCAATGAACCGCCAAATCCCATCACTGGCTGGCCCCACCCCTGCTTGTTTTCCGGCCTCTTTTCAGGGCGGTTTTTTGGCTGTTTGAGCTATTTTTCAGGCCTGAAAATGGCCCCAAACTGGCTTGAAAATGGCTCAAAAATGGTCTGAAAATGGCTTGAAAAAGTACCCTGAAAACAGCTTGAAAAAATGCCCTGAAAACGCCCCCCCAAAACAGCCAAAAATAGCCAAAAAAGGGCCAAAAATGGGCAGGGGCGTGGCCAGCCTGTGATGGGATTAGCCCCAACCAGCTGAATCCTACCTCTGTCTTTGAGGCGAGTGGCCGGCGGGCAGGGCTGGGTGTGATGAGTGATGTCACTCACCCAGTCACATGACCACCAGCCACGCCTACCCATCCAGAAAATTGGTTGTTAAGTTATTCAAGTCCCACCACTGTCCTCAACAAATCACTGGCAAATGGGGAAGGTTAATCCATCCCTTCCCTACTAGCATGCTTTATATGTGTTTTGGCTATATGCCCAGTACTGGCTGGGAATTTTGCATTTTGAACTCTGGAGAATGCCTGCTTGACGATGGTTGATTTAGCCTTTGCTAAAAGTCAAGTGTTCTGTTTTTCAGATTTGGAGGCATTCATCTTTTTTTTAATTAAAAAAACTAACTCAAAGAGAATAATTAGTGGTGCTTTGGACAGGATATCACAAACACACGTTTACTAGTTCCTTAGTATTTATATTTGGATCTTCGGCTACAACCTGAATCTCCCGCTCACATGCTTACATGAGCTTTTAAACCAGAAATAAGGCATTTGCCATGGGCTAGGGCAGTGTTTCCCAAACTTGGCAACTTGAAGATGTCCGGACTTCAACTCCCAGAATTCCCAACTCCCAGCATTCGCTGGCTGGGGCATTCTGGGAGTTGAAGTCCGGACATCTTCAAGTTGCCAAGTTTGGGAAACACTGGGTTAGGGTTTTTAAAGAAAAATATTATATTGATTCAGGTGCCAGAATACCTTGGCTGAGTCCCTTTCTTTCAGCGGATGTGGGTGCCATGTTGATTTATTTATATTTATTCATTTTTATCACACTATTTTAATAGCAATAGCAATAGCAATAGCAGTTAGACTTATATACCGCTTCATAGGGCTTTCAGCCCTCTCTAAGCGGTTTACAGAGTCAGCATATCGCCCCCAGTCTGGATCCTCATTTCCCCCACCTTGGAAGGATGGGAGGCTGAGTTA